TATTTACCTCAGGGGGGCTGGCAGGATGAGCCCAAAGTAAGGCCACAAGTGGACAGAGGGACTACCAGGACAGAGAAGCTGGAGACTTGCAAGGAAGAGTGAGTGGTCAGCTGTATCGAGTGCAGCACATAGACTCAGGAATGAAAGAACTGAAACTGTTTTTTCACAATTGGCAGGTGGGTGGCGATCTTAGCCAGGGTAGCTACAGAGAAGTGCGTGGAGCGAAAGGCTGATTTCCGTATGTTCAGCCCTTAGTAATAAAGGAGGCACGGAAAGAGCGAGCCTCCATCTTTCAGGAGTTTGACTGAGAAGGGGAGGAGACAGGGCAATGACTGCTGTGGGAATCGGGGTCAAGGGGTGATTTTTAGCAAGAAGATGTCCCAGTGATTCACTTTTCCAAGCAGTTAGAATCAGGATCTGATGAAATTCATTTAAAAAAAATTTAAATATATAAATATTTTATATTCTTTTTCTGTAGTCTATCTCAGTAACTCAATCTGCATCCTCCTTCCTGCCCCTTCCCTGGCATCACACACATACACACACACACACACACAGCCACACAGCCACATACACTTGATTGCATTATAATGACCATGCAGACCCCTTTTAGAAAGAATTCCATTTGGGACTGTACCCAGGAGGTGCGGCTATGGCACCACAACCGAAGCTGTGGGAAGGATCAGAGCTTGAGCTCTGAAGGAAGGGCTCAATTGCACATGTGTTTAGATGGGTAGTATAGAAGAAATCCTTCCAGGACAAACATTTAGGAAAGAATGAAGTTTTTAAAAGGTAAAACCAATAATATTTTTTATTTATTTCCTGCACAGATGGCAACATTGAACTATGAAGGCAGCCAAAAAACCCCTCAGGCCAGCGAGACCAGGGGACGCTGATGGGTCACATGAGCTCCCAGCTCCATCAGCTCATGGCCCCGTTTTTGGTGTTAAAGGTTTATGGAAAGTGCAGGCTTCCAGGAGTCCTGTAGGGGAAGAGAAGAAAGGTAGGAAAGTCAGTGTATACCTATATTTATTTTCTGTCGAGTGAATAAACAGTTAAATCTGATACAAAAGCATCCCAGTGGCCTTCTCCACTTGCCTGCATAGCCCTTGTGCCTACCCCAGGTCATGCCCCATGCCAAGGATGGGAACACGATTTCCCTGCCCTGCATCATCCCCCACCTGGTGTCTTATAGGCAGAGCTCCTACACTTGAGTCCATGTGATTGGGAGGAGCCTACGAGTACTGTCTTCTCTGACCTCTCTAGGCTGGAAAGGAACCACCATAGCAAAATGCACTAGGCACCTGCATGAGCCAGTTTCCATACTAGGGGCTGGGGATGGAGCAGAGTACAGCAAAGCCAGATTTTCTCCCCTCTTGGAGGATATAGGTTAGGTAATTATAACTGGGTGCTCACAACAGTGGCCCTGGGCAAGCATGTTCCTTACATCAGAATCATGTGGGGCAGCTGTTAAAATTCAGAAAACCTGACTGTGGCACAGACTTGCTGATTCAGTATCCACATGGCCATGTGGATTTGAAAGCATATCTTAAGGACCATGGCTCACTTACATGCACACAAAAGTGGCTGTATATTCACCCTGTAACATACTATTCTCCCACATCTTCCAAATGATTTCAAGGATTAAATGAGGTTCAACATAGATATAGTGCAAACGTACTTTTTTGTATTTTAAATCTGAGAAAACTGGTATTCTAGGTGAGTATTATATATGACAACTTTATAGTTACCAGGATTATCATTGTTCAAGCTCTCAAGAACAGCGCTGCATTAAAGAACTTTCTGCACTGATGGAAATGCATCTTTGCTCACCTATGTGGAGCCACATGGAGCTGTTGAGCACTTGAATTATGGCTAGTGTGACTGAGGAACTAAATTTTTCATTTTGTTTAATTTCAAGTAATTTAAATTTAAATGGCATTATATAGCTAGGGGCTGTTGTATTAGACAGTGTAACTCTGTATAAAAAAAGGGGGGAATTTTAGTGCAGAGCAATGGGCATGGGCACATAAACCCCTACCTTCTCTTAGTAATAACATGGAATTCTGCGTGTCCAGACAATTAACTACTTCAGTGCCCGGAGGCAATGGCCTCCTTGCCAACTGCCCTTACAAGTAGCCTTCATATGTTCTGGGATTATGTTGTTCCCTCATTGTTTCATCTTGTCCATTGGTCATCTCCTGGGGACTGTAACCCACTTCTCCTTTTGTACCCACCGCCCAGAACCCTGCCCACATTTGCTTTGCAGCTTCCCCCATGCTGTTCCTCCTACTCACTTGAAGTTGAGCACTGTCTCAGGTTACCCACAGCCGTGACATACTCCGCTCCTAAGTAGGATTCATACGTTGTTCTGCCCTGAAGTTCGGCCAAACATTTTGTATCATCCCTAAACAGCAGGTCCTTGGTTTTAGATTGGAACAGACAGAAGTCGCCCAAGCAGCCATTTTCATCTTTTCCAAACTGGGCCTGTCAAATGAATAGGAAGTGCTGAGGACTGTGGAAGTGAGCAACTAGGAACACACGGATGGGATGGAAGAGACTAAAAGTTAGGAACCAGCTTTGGAAAGCAAGGGAAGCTACAGAGGATGCCTCAGGATCCCTCCACCTCCCTCACCTGGCATTCACCCACTTTCGGCCCCAGCTCCATGCTTTCATGATGTCCCAAAGTCCTCTGTAGGGTTCCTCGTGGTCCACATCCTCTATGGAGTCCCTCCCACCCAGCCACCTGCTCCCGATTTCTCTGATCTCTCCACCCCACTTCCTTGGCCATGGCCTCATGGGCTGCTTGCAGGAAACGAGAGGACAGGCAGAAACATGTCCCTTCCAAGTGTTACTGTCAAAGAAGATGTTAAACATGAGCCACCCAGGAAGTGGTGGTACAGGTGGTTGTTACAAGTTCATGTTTGACTAAATTTTATTTTAATCTT